AGATAGATAGATAGATAGATAGATAGATAGATAGATAGATAGATAGATAGATAGATAGATAGATAGATAGATAGATAGATAGATAGATAGATAGATAGATAGATAGATAGATAGATAGATAGATAGACATACAATATGTTACAAAATACAATAAAATTGTAAAACTGCTCGAGAAAACTAATCAAAGTTATTTGCCTTGCTCTAGGTGAATTGTGAGTTATGTCTTGGTTGACCGAATGGCCCAAATTAACTCAAACCCAAACATCTAAAGCACCCCGAGTTGATTCAACTCGTTTTCTTTGGCTGCAACTCTTCAAAAAGAAGGCAAACTCTGAAATCGAACCTAGAGATGGAGTCCCACAGGGTTATGACATTGATATAATGAACATTACGACCACTCCTGTGACGTAAAACGCACAATGAAACACAAAATACACTGCTGATTATATAGGCGAAACAGGAAGAAGATGATCAGATGTTCAATGAACATCTCCGGGATATTTAACAAGGTAAAGTTTCCTCAGTCTCGTTACATTTTGAAAGAGTGCAACATAAATGTGTATTAGATGTTTCCATTCCGGCACTAATTTCCTGCACAAACACACCAGAGAGAACTAAAATGGAAAACATATTTGTTCAGCTTTTTGGCACCATATCTCCACATGGTATTAATCAAATATTCTATTACTAATGTTTTTGAATATCTCTTATGTTTTCTTTTTCTTTAATTCCATAGATTTTATATATTCCTAAATATTTTAGTCCGTTAAGATTTACTTCTTTTTTTTCGACAGCACCAATGTGTATATTCTTTCCTTCCTGTAACCCTACTTACAGCAAAAATAAATGAGATCTCTAATTATTTGTACTGTGCTCTAATACTTGTCTTACTTCTATTTGTTCTGTTCACCGAAGAAGAGGTCTAAGCCAAATATGTGATGTTATTGTCATGTATTTTGTTTTAAGATTCAACATACCTTGTTTTACTATTTCATGGGTTATGTACTGCATTGGTCCTGTCGTCTTGACAAAGTCTCGTCATTTAATCTAATAGGCAATGGCTAGAAGGGAGCAAATCTCGGTCACTTTAAAAAAATACAGCTTAAGTGAAGACTACTATTTCAGTCGAAAATCGCCTTGATCATCTTTTGTGTGCGAATCACAAACAACACTAGAATAGTGACAAACACACCTTAACACACAACAGTAGGAGATTCATAATTACCCACACTGAGTTCATGCTATTGTTGGCACACCTCCCATCGGACAGTTTAATTTAAATTGCTCTGCTAAGAGCCACTTAAAATCTGTCCAGTAATGATAATGCATCGTGTTATTCTTTTACTTTTTATAGACAAAATAATGTCTACGCCTTACTGACAAGCAGCAAAATTAAAAAAAAAAAACATTCAAAGTAAAAGCTAAATAAAAGTGTCCCTGATTTTATTTTAGTAACTAAAGATTGTCGTAGGACATATTTGTAAAATTGGTCATGGCTCAAAAAAAAGTACTAACAAATACAAAAGTAATAATTCAAAAAATTGTCAAAAACACTATACATAAAATAAATGAAAATTTAGCTTAATTTTATGCAAATAAAATAAATCGAGGATTAGGTCGAGTGCTAGTTGCCAGGAGACAAGCTTGTTTTTTTTTTTACCCACGCTAAACTCTGATCATCATTATTTACATTGCAAAATACAATCAAAACGAATGTTGCCGCCCACACTTGTCCAGTGCCGAAAGACATAGGTACTCCTCCGTCTCGGCTTAACTACGCGACAGTAAGGAAGTGGCTAGAATCTACTATTGTTTATCATTTCATATAAACTGCAATGTGTTACATTATCATTGTAGTTTATTATCAACCTTTCTACACTTTTATTTTCCTTGAGGAAATTAAAAAGCTCTGAAAATATCAAAAATTATTTAGCAGTAATTTTAAAAAAAAAAATATATTATTTTTTTTGTTATG